GGAAATTTGGTCGAATTATTCCGGAGGGCATTTTCGTAATTTTTAGGCGATTATTTCGAAAGGCCATTTTCATTAGATTTTGAAGGCTGCAGATCACGGATTCAGCCTGAGACTATTCTTTAGGGATGAATAAGTCTATTAAACGTCAATTCGTGCGGAAAATTTCCGGGGCAATTTTTGCCAGATTCAAAAGGGGTACCATCACCGATTTCGGGCGATTTTTTGGAAAGTGAATTTTCCTTGGATTTTGAAGGCGGTGGATCACAGATTCGGCCTTAGGGTACTCTCCACCAACGATGAAGTCTAGTAAAGGCCGATTTGGGCGGAAATTTGGTCGAATTATTCCGGAGGGCATTTTCGTAATTTTTAGGCGATTATTTCGAAAGGCCATTTTCATTAGATTTTGAAGGCTGCAGATCACGGATTCAGCCTGAGGCTATTCTTTAGGGATGAATAAGTCTATTAAACGTCGATTAGTGCGGAAAATTTCCAGGGCAATTTTTGCCAGATTCCAAAGGGGTACCATCACCCATTTCGGGCGATTTTTTGGAAAGTGAATTTTCCTTGGATTTTGAAGGCGGTGGATCACAGATTCGGCCTTAGGGTACTCTCCACCAACGATGAAGTCTAGTAAAGGCCGATTTGGGCGGAAATTTGGTCGAATTATTCCGGAGGGCATTTTCGCAATTTTTAGGCGATTATTTCGAAAGGCCATTTTCATTAGATTTTGAAGGCTGCAGATCACGGATTCAGCCTGAGGCTATTCTTTAGGGATGAATAAGTCTATTAAACGTCGATTCGTGCGGAAAATTTCCGGGGCAATTTTTGCCAGATTCAAAAGGGGTACCATCACCGATTTCGGGCGATTTTTTGGAAAGTGAATTTTCCTTGGATTTTGAAGGAGGTGGATCACAGATTCGGCCTTAGGGTACTCTCCACCAACGATGAAGTCTAGTAAAGGCCGATTTGGGCGGAAATTTGGTCGAATTATTCCGGAGGGCATTTTCGTAATTTTTAGGCGATTATTTCGAAAGGCCATTTTCATTAGATTTTGAAGGCTGCAGATCACGGATTCAGCCTGAGGCTATTCTTTAGGGATGAATAAGTCTATTAAACGTCGATTCGTGCGGAAAATTTCCGGGGCAATTTTTGCCAGATTCAAAAGGGGTACCATCACCGATTTCGGGCGATTTTTTGGAAAGTGAATTTTCCTTGGATTTTGAAGGCGGTGGATCACAGATTCGGCCTTAGGGTACTCTCCACCAACGATGAAGTCTAGTAAAGGCCGATTTGGGCGGAAATTTGGTCGAATTATTCCGGAGGGCATTTTCGTAATTTTTAGGCGATTATTTCGAAAGGCCATTTTCATTAGATTTTGAAGGCTGCAGATCACGGATTCAGCCTGAGGCTATTCTTTAGGGATGAATAAGTCTATTAAACATCGATTCGTGCGGAAAATTTCCGGGGCAATTTTTGCAAATTCAAAAGGGGTACCATCACCGATTTCGGGCGATTTTTTGGAAAGTGAATTTTCCTTGGATTTTGAAGGCGGTGGATCACAGATTAGGTCTTAGGGTACTCTCCACCAACGATGAAGTCTAGTAAAGGCTGATTTGGGCGGTAATTTGGTCGAATTATTTCGGAGGGCATTTTCGTAATTTTTAGGCGATTTTTTCGAAAGGCCATTTTCATTAGATTTTGAAGGCTGCAGATCACGGATTCAGCCTGAGGCTATTTTTTAGGGATGAATAAGTCTATTAAACGTCGATTCGTGCGGAAAATTTCCGGGGCAATTTTTGCCAGATTCAAAAGGGGGATTTGGGGCGTTTTTTTTGGAAAGTGAATTTTCCTTGGATTTTGAAGGCGGTGGATCACAGATTCGGCCTTAGGGTACTCTCCACCAACGATGAAGTCCAGTAAAGGCCGATTTGGGCGGAAATTTTGTCGAATTATTCCGGAGGGCATTTTCGTAATTTTTAGGCGATTTTTTCGAAAGGCCATTTTCATTAGATTTTGAAGGCTGCAGATCACGGATTCAGCCTGAGGCTATTCTTTAGGGATGAATAAGTCTATTAAACGTCGATTCGTGCGGAAAATTTCCGGGGCAATTTTTGCCAGATTCAAAAGGGGTACCATCACCGATTTCGGGCGATTTTTTGGAAAGTGAATTTTCCTTGGATTTTGAAGGCGGTGGATCACAGATTCGGCCTTAGGGTACTCTCCACCAACGATGAAGTCCAGTAAAGGCCGATTTGGGCGGAAATTTGGTCGAATTATTCAGGAGGCCATTTTCGTAATTTTTAGGCGATTTTTTGGAAAGGCCATTTTCATTAGATTTTGAAGGCTGCAGATCACGGATTCAGCCTGAGGCTATTCTTTAGAGATGAATAAGTCTATTAAACGTCGATTCGTGCGGAAAATTTCCGGGGCAATTTTTGCCAGATTCAAAAGGGGTACCATCACCGATTTCGGGCGATTTTTTGGAAAGTGAATTTTCCTTGGATTTTGAAGGCAGTGGATCACAGATTCGGCCTTAGGGTACTCTCCACCAACGATGAAGTCTAGTAAAGGCCGATTTGGGAGGATATTTGGTCGAATTATTCCGGAGGGCATTTTCGTAATTTTTAGGCGATTATTTCGAAAGGCCATTTTCATTAGATTTTGAAGGCTGCAGATCACGGATTAAGCCTGAGGCTATTCTTTAGGGATGAATAAGTCTATTAAACGTCGATTAGTGCGGAAAATTTTCGGGGCAATTTTTGCCAGATTCCAAAGGGGTACCATCACCGATTTCGGGCGATTTTTTGGAAAGTGAATTTTCCTTGGATTTTGAAGGCGGTGGATCACAGGTTCGGTCTTAGGGTACTCTCCACCAACGATGAAGTCTAGTAAAGGCCGATTTGGGCGGAAATTTGGTCGAATTATTCCGGAGGGCATTTTTGTAATTTTTAGGCGATTATTTCGAAAGGCCATTTTCATTAGATTTTGATGGCTGCAGATCACGGATTCAGCCTGAGGCTATTCTTTAGGGATGAATAAGTCTATTAAACGTCGATTTGTGCGGAAAATTTTCGGGGCAATTTTGGCCAGATTCCAAAGGGGTACCATCACCAATTTCGGGCGATTTTTTGGAAAGTGAATTTTCCTTGGATTTTGAAGGCGGTGGATCACAGATTCGGCCTTAGGGTACTCTTCACCAACGATGAAGTCTAGTAAAGGCCGATTTGGACGGAAATATGGTCGAATTATTCTGGAGGGCATTTTCGCAATTTTTAGGCGATTTTTTCGAATGGCCATTTTCCTTAGATTTTGAAGGCTGCAGATCACGGATTCAGCCCGAGGCTATTCTTTAGGGATGAATAAGTCTATTAAACATCGATTCGTGCGGAAAATTTTCCGGGCAATTTTTGCCATATTTTAAAGGGGGTACCATCACTGATTTCGGGCGATTTTTTGGAAAGTTAATTTTCCTTTGATTTTGAAGGCGATGGATCACAGATTCGGCCTGAGGGTACTCTCTACCAACGATGAAGTCTAGTAATGGCTGATTTGGGCGGAAATTTGGTGGAATTATTCCGGAATTATTTCCCTGGGGTCCTTGGGATCCCTGAGGTGGGTTGGCTGCTCCTTCTCCTCCTTGACAGGAAATCAATAACAACTTCAAATCAGGATCCATATTTTATTCAGAATGCAACTTGATTTTAAAATAGTGAATTTGTGGTATCAGAGCTGGGATATGATCCCACGAGATACCACTTGGTTTTAAAATGGAGCCTTGCATGGTTTTAAATTATGTGTGGATGTTACATTGATAGCTATCGTTCGTTATATCTCGAATATAAGAAAAGCTAACAAATCTCTTGCAGGATATTGCTAGACAAATATAAAATACATTTTGAAAAATGAAAAGCGACAAACCATGAAAGGGATAGAAAGGGAAAGCAAGGGCAACTTTTTAAACGTGAAACAAGCTTTATCATACATTGCTATCCTGGCTGATTTTTAGATTACGTGATAAATCTACTGGTATCTTGCCCACCATACTACGTGATTTTTAGATTACGTGATAAATCAACGGCTATCCTGTCCACCATACTATGTGCTTTAAAAACAAAGCTTAATATTGAGAGTTGTTATTAGATCTTTAACACATCACATTAAGGATAGAAAGCGTTAATATTATGTTATAAACCAACTGATCCCAACAATTCGAATTGTTAAAAGAGATACATATGTATGATACTTAATCACTCTTGACAATGTAACTAGTTAACCAATTGCCAGAAAGAGATGGAAAGGGAAGTAATGCATGCTTAATATATATACATTATGAAATGAGTGCAACGAATTGCTTTTCGCTATTAATGAATTGTGGATGGATGTGTGATTAATTGCACTCACAGGATCGCTAACTTCCTACTTTGCATCTATTCAGGTGGGTTGGTGGAGGATAGTAGAATAAAAGATAGGGGGTGTTATTAGTTTTCTGAACTGTTTTTTTTTTAATTTTAATAGTAACACTACAATACTAGTAAGCATGGGACATATATAAGGGGCGTGCTTCTGAACCGACTTCTTTATTTGTTTGTACTAGTTTTGGACTTCTTTGTTCTTTGTATTTTTTAATATAATTTTCATCATCATTATAAAAAAAGTATCCACGTCGTCGAATATAAATCTTATTCGTATAATCTCTACTGTCTCTCGATTGATTCCAAATAAAAAAAACTATAATAAATTATAATTTTCTTGGTACTTCAGTATGTAAAACAAAATATAGAAATTCAAATATCAGGCCAATAATTAAAAGCTGTAATTTTGTTATTGATTGCATGGATGCATGCAAACTATTTATACACTTGGTCAATTTGGATGCATGCAAACTGGCATTTACTTACCAGAGAGCAACAAAACTTTATGAGACTCACCAAATGGTATCCAAACTCTAAAATTACCACCATTAATTACTACTAGCTACCTATATATAGGCTATAGCTACTTCATTCTTGGGTAGTGGTGTTAGTAGTAGCAGCAGCAGCAGCAGCAGCGGAGACGGAAGCACTGTTAAGAATGTTGAATGGAAACGTAGTCGGTAAATATGACGATGAAGATGACGATGGTGACGAGGATGATCCATTGCTCATCATGGAAGTAAGAGCGGCGGCTATGACGGTGCGGAAGCTTGGGTCGGAAGTTAACGCCTTGGTCAACGTCTCGGTCAAAACAGCCTGTTGGTTGGATCCATTATTGCTAGTAATTACATTGGGGTTGTATGGTGATGAGCTGGCAAAGCTGAGGCTGGGTGGAAAGTACTGTAGTGGTCTCGATGAAGGTGGAGCGAATAGAGGAAGGCCGCCGGCACCGGAGGTTGTGGGAGGCGCGGTGAGGTCTAGGGTGATGGTGGGGAACAACGGGGAGGGAGTGGTGTAGTACTGAGACGGTGGTGATGACGTGGAGGAGGAGCCGGAGAGCAACATGGAGGCGGCGGCGGAGGTGGTGGAGACCATGGCGGCGGCGGAAGCTGGAACCGGGTGGTTGTGGGTTCCCTCGTATGTGGTGATCAGGATTGACATGTCATCCGCACATCTCTGCACCTGCGTTCCATTGATCAGTTGAACATCATTAGCACTCTATTATATATATATGCTGTGAAATGGGGAGTATAGTGCGAGTTGATGTCGTTGGATTTGTATTGTGTGTTTTTATCATTATTCGGATTTGGTTAAGCAAATATATGAGCATGAGTTGATGCACAAAGGTTAAGCATGAGTTGTCAATAACATACCTGCATTTCTACTTCTGTATAATTTTCAAATAAATTAATCCAAAACCAATTTTTTAAGCAAGATTACTTCATTTTACGAGTTTTGAAAATCAAAAATAAAAAATTACCTAGCTACTAATTCATACCATTTTCATTCTTCTAAAGACATCATCAACACATGCTGATCAATTAATCGCGTTGATTAATGGAGACAAACTAACCTATGATATTATTATCCAATTTAGTGATTAGAGTATATGAAATAGTACAAATCCAACTACATCAATTCATGTTGATCACCTTAATTCACATAGGCATTGCATAGCTAATCATATCAATGCATACTTCATGTAGCTAGCCAAACTAACCCACGAAAACTCACATGCTAATTTTCTTTCTTTGTTTGTTTGATTTAATTTCACGACTAAATAATTAAGTTATCTTGTTCTAGAACTGCTGCTCACAATCTCAGTGTTCACGATGAGCATCCATCCCATTGCACATGCTTGGTGTTTATTATTCTATAAACTAAATTAAATCAATTCACGATTTTGATACGATTGACCCCCAGGTCAGGCCACCATGATTTTCTCCAACTGTAGTTATGGTATGCTGTCAATTCCACATTCCAAAGTTCCATGAACTAATCAATTTTTGGTACGTGAATCATGCTTCGTTTTCACAAATAAATGCAAAATATATATATATATAAATTCTATGCAACCAAAATTTTCAATCTACAGCCGATCCCAATATTAAAAAATTTGAGACATGTATATATATATGTACTCGTTGCAGGTTGACCTTCCACACAACTAAACTTGGTGCAAAAAAGTGGCATCGGTGGCAAAAAGGACTAGGACAATGGTTCAGTATTTGGTAAGAATGGTAATAGTTAGGTATAGGATTATACCTGTTTTCTGACGGGGCATGATGGTGCAACGGTGCAACGATAGTAGGCTCGTGGGCAGGGGTTCCCTTTCGCTATTTTCTGCCCATATTTCCTCCATTGGCATCCATCATTCATCTGCAAGCCCACAATCAAGAAATTAAAGAGGTAGGTTAGTTTATTTTTGTTTTTTTTTTTTTCCTGAAAGGAAGGAGGTAGGTTAGTTAGTTGAAGAAGTTAAGTTAGGAAGGGTACCGTAGGGGTTTGGCATCTGGCTCTGACGCAAACCCTAGCTCTCTTAGCTTGGGTCTTATCATCGGGATAAGAAGAATCATCCTCCGTACTATGAACCCTCTTCGCTGGTGCTTTGCTTGGATCCCACGTCTCAGCTGCTGCCTTATCCTCCTTCACCGATTCATCATCACCACGTGGGTTAATGTTGGTATTATGATCAAGAGAACAGCCCAAGTTATCTACAGGGAATTTGGCATGATGATGATCCATGGTCAACCCTCGCCCCAGGGTCAGGCTGCAGCTCCCAGCTTTGACCTCTTCTTCTTTACTGTTCCCGGATGAAGTAGTAGTTGTAGTACTTGTGCTGGAAGATTTCTCATGAATCCGATCTTCCTTCGTGCCAGCGCCACTTCCCAAGCAAAGCGAGAGCTCTTGATCATCACGATCTACTGCTGCTGCCAACATCTTGGAACTAGACGACGCCGTTGCAGTAGCTTGATTACCAAGAAAGTCGAGGAAATTGCGGCGAAGGGAGCTGTAATCCCTCATCATCTTATCCAACGTCAGCTTTAGCCTCTCGTTCTCTTCCCTCACCTCCCCCATCTCCGCTCTCGCCGATTCAAGCACCACCTCCTGCACACCTCATCAAATCCCTTAATTAGCTTTCTTTTTATGACAGATACATACATAGCAACAACATATACCGACCAAAAAGCTATCCACAACTCCATGAATACCCGGCAAACTCACGAGGTTGGAGATTCTGTAATATATAGTACCTTTGGATCGTTGACTTTGGCATCAACTCCACAACTGCGATGATGATGATGATGAGTATCGTGATCATAAGTAGTACGAGGAGGAACAACCATCTTGTCCTCCACGATGGGAGCTGGTGAGCTAGACATGTTACTTTTATGGGAGAGAGAGCAAAAATGGGGAACAGGAAAAGTTAGTATTGCTGAACTGGGATCTTGAGATTTTCTTGTGTTTGATTTGTTGTTGCCCGAGGATGTGAATTGATGGTGGTCTCTATATAGAGGCAGGGCTTGTAGAAAGAAGAAGAAGAAGAAAAAAGTCGTCCTTTTGATTTGATGGAGTTGGGTGTGAAAAGTCGTATGTTGGAAAGTGGCAACTGGCAGCCCAATTCGATCGGCTCATCTTACGCTGCAAACATACAACAAAGGGCCCAAAAAGGTCAACGTATACAGCCTCCTCTGACCCCCCAACATCTACGGTAAGACAACACTGTTTCAAAATCAATACCTGCCCAACTTCTTCCTTTTTTCTAAGAAGATAACACGACTTTCCCCACTCTCACTCAGATTTTATTGTTTATTTTTAAATATGTAGAATGGAGATCTCCAGACCCCCCAAATTAAGAAATCAATTTCAACGCATTGTTATGGCACAGATCATTATGTGGATGACGCATTGAATATACAAGTTGAGTAATCGTTCTTTAATATAGACCGACTGTGGAGAGAGCTGGATTATCGGGAGAGAAGACATTGCGGGAGGAAGGGAGGGTGAGACTTTAGGTTCAATCAAAGTTGTCAACCCGCGGGTCAATCCGGACCCGGTGGAGCTTGTGGGTCAATAGGTCACCCGTTTTAGCTCGAAAATATGAAAATTATTATTATATTGTACTTATCCCCAACCCAATATAAGAAACGTCATTATATTGCTAATTTTCAAACATAAGCAATCTGAAATTCTTCTTAACCATAAGCAATCCAAAATTCCAAATAATTATTAACGATTCAACTTCTTCCTAACATCTATAACATCAACAATCCCTTACTAACAAATAACAATTCAACTTCTCCACACAGGCAATCTAATTCACGTTACCACCTGCCAAAATTAACCAAACATTCATAAATTAATAAAATCAACCAAACCCTTACCAATCTGAGTTCGAACATCAAACAGAGGGAGGAGGTCGAACTCGAGCTGGAGATGGAGACGAGACCCGACCCGACCTGAGGCAGAGGCAGAGGAAAGTTGATGGCGGCCAAGCTCGAGGTTTCGAATGGTCGGAGGCAGATGGCGGCGCTCAAACTCAGATTGGTCGGAGGACAGAGCTCGAGCAGCTGCGGGAGCGGGAGCTAGTTGCCGCCGACGAAGAGGAACTTGGCCTGGCGATGGCGATCGAGCGACACCTGTGGGGTGGGAGACAGGGCTGCGCCCCGGGAATGGAGAGGAGAGGTCGAGATGATGAAGATTGAAGGGTGTAGCGGACTAGCGGTAGGGTTTTGGATTTCAGACCCTGCCCTCTGCCTTCTCCCGGCCAAAAACGACGTCGCGCCAGTGTGAAACGCAACCTAAGGAGAAGCAACCCAGTGACCCGCTCTGGACGGGCTAACCGCCCGGGTTAGCCGGTTTTGACCGGGTCCGGGCTGACTATCAAAAGGGTTGCAATGTCCCGTTTTTTGGGACTGATCCGGGTCAATCCGAGTTGACCCGCGGGTTGACAACCTTGGGTTCAACACTTCAACTTGTTGAATGTGAATTGAGCAGCCATTTCCTGTACGTTACTATTATTATTGGAACTGTATTATTTCTGTATTTTCTTTGTTTGTTGGGGTGTAATAGCTACTGGCCTGGCAGATGTTGGTTGTTTAATTTCCCAAGGTTTCTTTCTTACGTCCACACTACTCAAGAGAAGAAGGAAAGGAAGGAAGGAAGAAGGGAGACAGACAGGCGATGACCTTTGACTTAGGGTTCATGAAAGGAGAGGGAGAGTCAAAGTTTGTGCCGGTGATCATCATCACTGTTTTGGTTTTTCTATAGAGATCCGGTGGAAGGACGCTTTCTTGCTATCTAGCTGCTCTATTTTTCTCATATATGTACATACTAGTGATTATGAAACAAAAATAATTAATATGGGCTTTACTAAAATACTACATTTTACAAGTACATTATACACGTTAAACATTGCAGAGTTTTTACCACCCTTGTAAAATTAGATGAAATTGTACATGCATGATCTCAATATTGTTGCCAGCTATCTAGCTTCATTAGCCAACTATTCGACTTTTGGAAGACATGTCTTTCACATCCACCTCGTTTTCACATATTGGTTGTAATTTGATCAAATTAAAAGTGGATTTCCACCATCCCGTAAAACATAAAAGTAACTAGTAAAAATATATTTACACTCCACATTGTGTAACAAAGGATATCATACCTTATTATTTTCATTAAATTAAAAATAGATATGTGTAGTAATCAATAATCATGAATGATTGATGAGACGGGAATGGTTGAGAAAATAGTATTGCGAGAAGATAAGAAATAAAATGGGTTGATTGGATTTTCTGGGAGTCCAATTTTCTTCTAGACAGAGTTTTGGCTCAAATTCTATATGCTTGGAAAATAAAAGAGTTTTGGTAAGAGCAGCATAGGATTATTTTTATATTTATGTGCAACAGTAGAGATTCGAATCTGACACTAATGGTATAACCATTACTCCAAGTACTTGTTCGCAACTTCACAAGTTTTGATAAAATAAGCCACCAATGTTTCATGAAGGGATGATCGTGACTTGCACCTCATGCTTAAATAAAATTATTCATATGCATTATCAAAGATTAAAATTTAAAAAAAATGTGTTGAGATTGTGTGAAAAAATGAATAACGTAAACGAATGTAAATAAATGTAGCATTAATATGTGAAAAATAAATTATATACGTGATTGAGAAAGAATAAGTGTGACCGGCCAGAACAAACTCTCGGTCAGAACTCAGACATACTTCCTCTTATTCAATCAGTTTTTATTATTAAAGAAAAGAAGTTGATGACAGCCATGGAACCGGCCGACGTGATTGTCCCTGAGCTTTACGGTCAAACGCTCGTTTAACACGGCCTGTAAATTTGAAAAGCTCTCCCGCCGGCGGCCCCCACGAAACCTCTACAAGTTGGAAGTGTTCATGCTGCATGCCCACTTGACCGGCCGTCCATCTCTCTCAGGACTCAGTCAGTCCTCACCGTTCCATCCCGTTGTGTCACCCACATCGTTCTACCCTCTCCTTTCATCTACGGATCTACCACATTGGCTGCTCCACTGGGCCGCTTCCTTGCTCACGGCCCAATACTCGACCAGCAACCCTATAGCCTCTCGCATCCCAGGCGGGACCGGTTACTATGACAACACCCCTTGTGTTGTTATTGTAACAACACTAGTCTCCAACCAATAGGAAACTAGGATTGTGATGACTTTTTATTAGATGAGTTGACCTAGTGTAAAATCAAAGCAGGGGTATAATTGTCATTATGAAAAATATATTTAAATAAAAATATTTTTTATTTTCGGCCCAAAATTTTGGTCGTCGGAATTCGGCCACCGGTCGCCGGTCACCGGAATATGTTTTTTTGTCGCCGGAATATGCTATTTTGTCATCGGAATATGCCACCGTCGCCGAAATATGCTCATCGTGGTCGGAATATGCTTTCGGAATCTAGTCATCGGGACCGGAATATGCCTATCGGCGACTGAATCTACTCACTGACGGTCATCGGAGTTTGGTCAACAGTCTTCGTTGACCGGTCACCGGCCAACGACCACCGGATGTTAAGGTCTGCATTGTGATATTTATGGTTTGGTTTCTCATATTTTTGTATGCCTTTTGTGGTTTGCTTTATCGTGTTTGTGGTTTTCATTGAGAAGTTTCTGGTTTGCTTTATTGTGTCTGTGGTTTGCATTGAGAAGTTTCTGGTTTGCTTTCAAAAACTTTGTGGTTTGCATTGAGGGGTTTCTGGTTTGTTTTAGGAGATTCGTGGTATGCATTAGGAGGTTTCTGGTTTGTTTTTGTGGTTTGCTTTAACGTGTTTGTGGTTACTGGTTTGCATTATGAGGTTTCTGGTGTGTTTTTGAAAATTCTGTTGTTTGCTTTGTGAGGTTTCTGGTTTGTTTTAATATATTTTTGGTCTGCATTAGGACGTTTCTGGTTTGTTTTTGTGGTTTGCTTTACGGTGTTTATGGTTTGCGTTATGAGTTTTCTGGTGTGCTTTCAAAATATTTGTGGTTTGGTTTGTGGTGTTTCTGGTTTGTTTTAGGGAATTTGTGGCATGCATTGAGAGGTTTTTGGTATGTTTTTTTATGGTTTGTTTTACCGTGTTTGTAGTTTGTTTTATGAAATTTCTAGTGTGCTTTGTGGTGTTTTTGGTTTGTTTTAAGAGAGTTATGGTTTGTATAATAAGGTTTTTGGCGTGATTTAAAAATATTTATGGCTCACTTTGTGGTGTTTCTGTTTTGCTTCACGAGACTTATGTTCTACATTAGGATGCTTCTGATACATCATAAAACAAAAAAATATATATTATAAACTTTGTTGCTTAGGAATAATTGATCTCAAGTGATCAGTATCAACAATTACATTTTCAGAAAGCTATCCATATATCCTCCACTTGCACATCAACCATCCAACGTGCCATCCAGATCGAATGAGAAGTCACAGAAGGACAACAGTTTCCGGAGGAGGAGGCATGTAGTCATGCAACTTCCACGACCCATCATCCGACTGATACATAGCCTTGTTCCTCATGCTTCTCCATTTTGGTGGCACATTGTACTCTCCTTTGAGATGATCGTCTTCTTTGTTCAGCAATGCAATATCTCGTTGCACTACGAACTTAAAGGGTTCGATTCCATTGTATCCCGCTACTCCATGCATATAGAGCTCCAGGCTGTGGGGGTTGAGAAGTAACTTCAAGTAAGAGGATGAAACCAAGATTTGAAGCTCCTTCACAACCTCAAAGAATCCGAGTAGCTTGGGTGGGAGGTTAGGGACGGGGTCGGGGAGGTTTCTGATCCGGAGGAGTCGCAGGTCGCAGATTCGGAGGAATCCAAGCAACCAGCAGTCGTACCAGTTGATTTGTGGTAGTTGTTGGCCACGATGTTGGCAGCGTTTAGGGTTGCAAGCGAGGCGCCCAAGCTGTGTACCGCATCCAGTCCACCGTCGCCGGAGAATCCCTCCGTTGTGGGGAGGAGGAATCAAGAACGCGCGGGCGTGAGGATAAGATCGAGGGTGATTGAAATTGGGAAATTTTTATTTTATTTTTATTTTATTAAATATATGAGTATATTTACCCTTATACCCTTAATGAATCCTGTTGTTAGTATAACACTTAAAGTGTTGTTATACTATCCGGACCCCATCCCAGGCCTAGGGTAGGCCCGTATCCTCCTTTAGTTATGTACTTATTCCTCCCACCTCACATTTTGCAGCAACTCATTAAGCTCTGGCCTAAATGAAAAATCAGAGGATGGTGTCATTGGTGTGCATTGTCATCTGCTTTTATAGTTAGGCATTGGAGTATCGAATTGTTATGTTGTACATGATTTATCACAACTTGTCTTAGATAGGTAATATTTGTCTCTAGATTGTATTGTGTCAGAACAAGTCTTTTAATAAATCGCTTTATTCAGTTTAGTTCTCTGACAAAATCTCTTATGTCACCTAATGATAAGTTTGATCTCTTACATGTGATGTGACAAAGGCTAGGGGTGGGCAACGGGACGGGACGGGATACCCGTCCCGTTTTAAACGGGTATCCAGTCCCATTTGGAGACCAAAGTCCATCCCATATCCCAAACCCATATGGGAAACGGGTACCCATTACCCGCACGAGACGGATAACGGGTACCCATACTACCCATAAATACCCAAAGTTTAAACCACTAGAATTTTAACAAAAGTTTAAACTTAACTTGTATTTGCTTAACAATCACAAGACACAAAATACATCCCAATCACAAATACTTGGTTTGCAAATTACACATTCATGAACAATCACAACACATAGAAATAAATAATTTCAAGTACCAAATTATCAAAAAAAAAAAAAAGTTTCATTCAACACATCCCAACCCTCTCTACTAATTCACCAAACATGTCAGTGAAAGAGTGAAAGGGTAAGGGCCCAAATGGAATTGAAATTGAAAGGGTAAGGGCCGAAATGGCCAATGGGTTTTTAATTGGGTTGGGCTGAATTAAATTTCTGCATTTGTACTGAATGGGTATAACGGGTACCCATATTACCCAAACGGGTATTCGCGGGTAACCCGCGGGTACCCATATTAGGAATGTACAATCTCAAGTCCCATCCGTTTATAATATTACGGGTAATATGGGTACCCGTAACCCTTAAAAAACGGGACGGGTACGGGTATACCCAAATACCCGTTTCCCGTTGCCCACCCCTAACAAAGGCAAAAGTATTTGCTTCTAAATGCCTACCGCAATCGATTGCGGGTCAAATATAAATCAGCCACGATAAACGCTCTGACATTTACACTACGATGAGACAAATATGTGTATTAAGTTAGCTGCCCAATTTATTACGAGAGGAATATGAATATTAAGATAGTCACGGTAGTAGACATGATTATTCCCATCTATAGCTATTCTGTTCAAGATTATGCGATGAGCGTTTCTGAGTGTGGTGGCTTGTGAGAGGAATGATGTGTTGTTCTGTGTGATGTTGCGAGGTACTGCTGTGTCAAGGGAATGGCCATTGCTGTCTACTTAGCCGAGAAACCGCAGCCCCCCGCGCTTATTTGCTTACGATATGCGGCGGTGATGCACATACTGGAAAAGGACAGACATTCAGACACATCCCCTCGGCCTCGGGACTTTTCTTTGTTGTGTAATCTTGTTTCTCCCAACAACGTCACATCTTCCAACACCCCCCAAAAAATTCTGCCACCTCCCAAACCAGCAGCAACACATCACCTGTCACCCCAGCAAGCATCATACCATTATCATACATCGTCACATCAACCCTAAGCTTGCGTAGGATGTTTCCCCACAGCCTGCAACCTCCCACAGATTCCTTTCTTAATATAGCAACTCACCAATGAAGATCCTTTCCCATTCCAGCCCTATCCTGTTCCTGGCGATGCATGCATTCTGGTTTGATAGAAAGAATATTGCTCCTTTTGAATGAGCAAAGAGAGTCGCAAGTAGCAGTAGTGTACTACTGATATGATGTAGAAAGAAACTGTCTCAAGCACTTGTGTTTCATTTTCTTCTTATCTCATTCAACTGTGAACCCAATGATTTTCCGGTGTAACTATGTACAGAAGATCCCTAAATGTTACAACAAGGATTGGTGTCTTAAGTCTCAACTCTCAAGCGCCATGTTCCACCACTAGAAAAGATAGAGAAAAGACCACAAAAGGAAAAGGCTATGGAGGAATATAAAGCAGCAAGACTACAGCTAGCAAAAGGATCTGTTCTGTGTGAAGCTAAAGCTAGTCTTTCTTCTTTCTATTCATCCATCTGTCAAAGAATGCGCTCTACTAGCTCTTTCATCCAGTATCCTGTAAATTGCTCTCTCTTCTATGTTGATTGGGTAGTACTCTGAGCTTACTTGAAAAAGGGTGGTCCTCTATACAATTCGCCGCGAACAACCAAGTCCGCCGGTCTGTCCCTCTCCTGTAGCCAACCATACCCTTCCTTCTCTTCATCAGGCACTACTACTCCATCGACTGGAAACAGTGTTTTACAAGCATGGTGGAAGTTAGTGGGTTTGATTCTTTAACCCTAACTAAATGAATGGAGGCAGCAGCAGAGCAAAGGAGAGATACCAGAAAATTGGGACGATGGGAAGTCGAAGTAGTACTGGCAATGCCTGCCTTCATCATCGTTATAAGGAGGTCCAAGGACATCTAACACTGCACAGGCTGTTACCGCGGTGAAGCAATGCATGTTACCTCCATCTTCAGGGTAGAGTATGGAGGTGTTGCATGGTGCTGTGAGGTCCGAGTTGGTCTTCACCTTCGCCAAACGAACTTTCGGTTGCTGGTTCTTCACTTCTGGCTGCTGCTTACCTTCACAAGCCAGAAGCTGTCAGGCAACATAAGAATGAATGCGAATTTGTTCATTTCTTTCTAGCAGACTTACCTTCTTCGTCGAGTACCCAATCATATGATTTGATATGCATTGTCCCGAAGAGGAGCTTGCTAAACACGGTCATTCCAGGATGGTTATGAAGTGGAATGACTCCTGATGGTGGCAAGCAGAATACCCCAATCTGTTGAAGTTGAAGGGGATTAATTCTCAATTAGTCAGAATCAAGGTTGCAAAACCAAACCTACAATTCACTATCTAGTATCTAGCATCATCATTGCAATGACTTCCACTTACCGAGAACTTGTTGCATTCATGGAGATGGAGGTATCTTATTGCTGGTTTTTTCCCATTGGGGGCAGCTCCATCCAAGTTTGCAAGAGTGAGGCAAGCAATATCTGGGTTAAGCCCAAGATCAGCTGGTTTGATATCATCTACCACAAACAAAAGAAACCATTGATAAGCAGAAGCATAATTAAGGATATCCAATGGCAACCCACTAAGCAAGTTCAACACTTTATTCTGAAACACCAATAAGTACCAAACAGCAACATAATCATCCTAGAAAGCCTCGCAGCACGCGATAGTGAATTCAGAAAGACATCAATTAGAATAATCAGAAATCATTTACGTACCCAAAACAGCTCTCAGCTTCTCGACATTATCAGGTGAGGGAACAATTCCAGCGCTGCCAGATTTAAACACTTCCTTGCAAGTGTCGAACAACCGCTGCACGGGCCTCACCGCCGCAGCGGAGGGCTGCTTCTGTTGTTGGCGTCGCCGGCTCTTCTTCCCCTTGCTATTATTGGCATTCCTAGCCGGAGGAGGGTTTGGCGCCGGGTTCGCGATTGGTTTCTTTCCCTTAGCCAGCTGATCAAATTCTTCTCCCCCTATCGCTTTATTATCAATAATAATTCTTGACTCTGCACCCATTCACTTCCCCCCTACTAACCAAACTCTGTAAAAGAAAGAGAGCCAAGCTGAAAGGCCGGCGCTTTAGACACAATTCGCAGCTGGGTCAAAGAATTTCAATGTGGGCGCGGATGAAACTCGTAAACAAACAAAGACAGCTAAGCTGAGAAGTCACGGAGACATTATCAGATGTTGATGAGGATCTCTCTCTGTTTCGCCATGGATAAGAAGAGAAGATGGATCGATGGAAGAGGGAAGGTGAATTGATAAAAAAGGTGAAGTTGGGTAAAAGGAAAGTAAGGGATTTGTTGAAGAGTTCTAGGGTTGAAGGTAGAAGGAGAAGAGGAATAGAGGAAGAAATGCAGTTGGTTTTCATGGACACAGGGGAAGCAAAACCAGGGGCCATTGTCTTCCGTTTACTATGGGCTGTTGCTAATACCAGTTTTTCATTGTTTAATGTTTATCCATTTCTTTTCTCCCCGTTGTCCCCATTTTGCCCCTGATCTTCAGAGGAAAGTTAGTGAATTGGCCCTCAACTAAACTAGCGCAGGCCCGGTCCGTTGGGCGGGTAAACTAAATATAAGCGGCGCATTTGACAAACGTTGGAACATGAAATCAAATGAAAACGAATTCATTTTTTTGTCAATTTAAGTTCAAATTGTTCAGTTAAAATGTTTATACGAATATATGAAATTTAATAAGTGGGCTGTAATATTTGGAACATAATAATAAGCATCACATTGGTAAAAACCACAGGAGATAGATGGAGCTGCCAAGTAATAATCTATTCGGGGAAAGAGTTCAACATTCATAATTGGAACAACTATACAGAAATTATCTTTGAATTAAAGCACTGTTCAAGTACGTCACCCCCTCTACCAGAATAATTTGCGAAGAACCAAATCAAACTCATTGGTCTGGCCGTTGAAATCTCCAAATTCAATCATAAACTTCAATATATTCCCCCTGAGAGCAGCTAGGAGAGTCCTGAAGTCATTGGTCCATTCCTTGTCTGTAGCCTCAATGATACGGCTTGCTATCCACCGGAACTTGGTAGTCATAAACATGATAGAAGCCTCATGAGGACCAGTAGCAACAGTCAGCCTCACCATAAACTTGAGATGCACACTTGACCAAGAAACAGTAACATCCTTGACTGTTGCAGTAGTAAGGTACAAATTCCCCTGCAATATGAACCACATGAAAGCTTACATTTGGGAATGGTAAGAGGATAATTGATATTTTATTGGTCAAGTTAGAGCATTAGAGACGCAGTTACATCCAACCATGGTGTCCAGGCCAACAATTATGATATTCAATGGGAGCAAAATATGAATGTTGAAATTTTTGTAGGAGTTGACCGAGTGTACATATAAACTACCTGGTTGGTGAAATCAGTCTTATATAGATTCAGTTCCGAAATGGAACATATCTCACTTAACCATATAGCATCCTCCAACGTGTAGTCAATGGCCAGCGGGACATTTTCTATACTGTAAATAAAAAAAAAAATTCCAAAACATGAGAATAAGAATAATAAAAGAATTGATTCTATTGATCAAAGGTTAAACACTTACTTATCAAGCAGGGGGTGCACGTGAGGATAGTGCAAGTTGCAATATACTTTCGTTGCATTTGAGCCCACACAATATTCTTCCCCTAAAACCATAACATCTAAAAACTCAATTACCACTAATCTAAACTAAAAGAACAGGTTTGAAAAATAGAATGAAAACCATGTAAGAGACCTGCGAAGTGGCGAACAACAACGGAAGTGAAGACAACTACTGTTCCTGGTAAAGGATCATTAGGTGTCACAGCTTGAAATTCGTCAATTAGACCATCCCATAAGACGACATCAACTATAGGTCCCCTAAAATTTTTTTTAAAAAAAGATGCATGAATGGGCTGCATACGGTAAGCACACTTCAAATGTAACCTGTACAAAAAAACAACCAACTGACTCAATCAATCTAAGCTGCACCCCCTTTCGCCGTAAAATAGCAGCATCTTCGAATAGGACCTCTTCTTGTTCAACAGTTTCAACCTCCCCAATTAAATCTGAGCCCAAACATATCGTTAGGCACACAATATGAAAACCAAACCGGCCAAATAAAGCTTTCTTTGAATTAGAAATACCAGACAAATATTCATGATTATGGACAGCAAAGGGAAGATCATTAGCAGCCAAAAACCGAAAGCTATATGTTGGTATGTCGGCTGCATTCTGGAGTTCCTCAATCACCGTATCATTATGAAAGCGGATTCGGATAGTTGCAGGAGCAACTCTATACGTATCATCATATTCTTGGACCAAAAAGTTGCTCAAGAAATAGATCCTTCCCACGTGAAGAAGAGGAGCAAACAACTGAACATTAAGAATATCAACCAAGGCCTGCATCTCTGTTCCCTAAAAGTCACGGTAAAAAATCTTTGAGTATTTTTAGAATTGAATAGCGTACTTCCCACTCATGTAACGAATAGAAGGCTTATAAAATCAAAGTACCTGGTTGTCGAGAAACAACATGTGGATTTGGTCAAGCGTTACACCATCAGGCCTCATTGTATGCCATAAACGCAGGAGCCTGACGCGAACAGCCTGGTCATTGTCATGGAGGTTCAATTGGGCTAAATTGCGGAGAGCCATCACTGATACGGCACGCTGGAAAAGAGTCAATATTTTGGATGGCAGCAAACCTTTTCACGTGCTGGAAATGTTCTTTATATAGACTTGCAGGGAAGGAAGTTGGTTTAAGCTTGAGAATAGGTGGCATAGTGGAAGAACGTGGTGATCATGGCAGTTAATTACTTATTATTTGTATTTATAATATATTTTAATAGGAAAATGACAGGCCATATTGGCAAGCGAAAGTAGCAGTACATAGTAAGCATCGGCTTAGGAACTATTAACATTTTTTACCCTAAGACTTGTCTGGATTCTGACTAATGGTGTGAATGGTCTAATGCAGGGGTTGGTCGAAGCATAAGTCTGGTTCTGCACATAGCAACCTTGATCTCGGCATGATGTGAAAATGGAAGCAGCCAATGATCCTTTCATTGATGCTAATTACCTGGTCAGAGTTGGATTAGTAATTATTAACATTTCTTTTCCTTATACTCCAAAATGAAATGGATCTTTGGTGATGTCCAAGTTGTTTAACTGTACTGGATTGAACTCTGAAATGTCATTCAATATGTTTCATTTGAAATTTGATGATGAATTTGCTGGTTTAAGAGAGTGCGGGATAAAGGTGCCCATTGTATGAGCATGTAATGGATGCTGAAATGAAAACATAGGATAGGAAAACCATGTAAGAAAGGCATGATGAAAATAAAGATGTGTGTAATTCATTATTTGTCAAAGGATGTGATAAAGCATTTCAATTTGCCAAATATTGATCGTTCACATATGCGGGTTGGAATTCAGTAGAGTTGAAGAATTTGACGTTGTATTTTTTGATATCACTTGTCTCGACCAACTCCTCAACTACTGTTTTTGCATCCAAGAGAATAGGTACGTATATTGAAATCCATCAATCCTTGTATGGCACAACGACCCATTGTCACTGTGCAACACAACAAACGGGAACAAAGGAAAACCAGTAAACAGTTTCGACAAACACCCAGCAGTCTAGCAACAAAAGGAAATTGAACTGTTCTTCTACAGAATCAAAGTGGAACTACTAATAGGGTATTGGTTACATAACGTTCAACCCCTCAGATATCACTCTGGGTGCATCTTTCGTTTCAGTTTATTATCAGGGGTGATATCAACAGAAACGCCTTTGTCTGCCTCTTGATGTGCTGGATCTGGGATGGAAGGTTGCGATGAAGTTTGGGAGGACTCAACTCCACTGGTAATTGATGAACATGAGGCATCTTTGTGAAGAACAGAAGCTGGAGACTGAAATTAAAAAAATGGTGGAAAGTAGAAACAATTAATAGTAGGACTTTAAGAGGATTCAATGAAAGCTATTATTAATCAAGTACGAATCAGGTCATGCAAACATATGTCATAGTCATTGTACACAAAACAGTATTGTAGAGTTATAAGTCTGGAAGATCTAATGAGTAGCTCACCTGTTCTGTGGGTTCCAAGACTTTTAAGACGGTGAAATCAGCTTGTGAATCATTGTAGAGATTTAGCTTGAACTTGACATGGAATAGTTTGGTCTCACCAACTATTTGGAGTAGATCTGGAGGGGGTACCTCATTGTTCTGACCCGTCCTATTGAAAAGATCATTACCACTGACACCAAAGAAGCGTTTTGCTTCATACTCAAAGATGATAAAGGTAGCTGGCACAGAACTGCTTTCAACATCAAGCTGTATACGATATCTGGAAAGGCACGAAATGGAAATCCAGCATATTCAATGAAGTTTATAATTCAAGGATCTGATGGAATTTATCTTGGAACTCAATGATATGGTATTTACTTGGCAGCCCTTGTTGGTGTTGGCTTGTTGCATTTGACACAGTAGTATTCTCCATGTCTTTCTATGGGTTTAAGGACACAGGTTGGACAGCCCATATAACACCAAAATGGCTTGATTCCTACGACTTTGCATTCAACAGCATACACACATTCCTAGTTGTAGTCGAAGTGAATTAATATTGGCGTATAGATTAGAGAAAACACCATAATGTAAATTTAGAGAAAACACCATAATCTAACCTCATTATCAGGGTCCAATTGAAGTTCCAGCAATTCCGATAGAGTAATATTAGGGATGAAGGGGGGTGGGGGTAATTCAACAAACACGGGCTGCTGTGGTTGCACATTCCTTTTTCAAAAGAAATAACTATGTTAATTTGACATTGGTTCAACAGTATGGTTCGGATATTCATTAGCAATTAAAAGAGAATACCTGGTTGTGAAAGCCTTTACTTCTGGGATATCAAGGTTGGGATACAACACTGTTGAACCCGAAGAATTAAAGCAAAGTTCACCTGAAAAATTAAATTGATGTTGTTCCTACTGATCAGTCACCCATATATCTCAAATGCAGCACAGTGTAAACAGATGTTGTACCTAGGAAGGGTTTGACAGAAACCGCAGTCACAACCAGTATGACTTGTTCATCATCACCAGGCTTGATCAACTTATCAAAGTCAGCTACAACTCTTCCCCAGATAATAACTTTGACAACATCCCCTCTGTAAAACAACGTAGGCTTAGGTTTGACAACATAAGTAATGCCTAAGCATGGGTGTAAATGAACACCATACAATGAAGTGACCCATATAAATGTATATGATCAGAGGCTGAATAACCCATGATCTAAATTTATACTGCCTAGAAAAAGTAGAACGTTGTACCCAAGCAATCATCAATCATTCATGTAACTCCAACTTCATATTGATACAACCGTAGCAAAGATAGCTCTTACTCAATTAGTTTCAGTTGAAGCTCCTTCCGAATGGTTTTCCTAGCAAGATTCGTTGTCTTGATGGCATCCGAGTGCTGTACTACTTGCCCAACAACATCTATACAAAGAAAAGTTAATGGAAATTAGACGCAAGCAAGCACAGAAAGGAAATCAACCACTGAATAAATTGCGGTTGTAACCTGAGAGTACGACCACATCATTCAATTTAGATGCCATCTCACTTGCTTTGAGGAATTTGAATTTGAAGGCAGGAATGGAAGGGACATCGGGAACATGCTCAACAGTAGTCTTCCGGGAGAACGACATGATATATGTATTGGCAATGGGGCGATATTTCAGTTGGGTCGTGTGAAGCTCAAAGTTTTTAATGGTGTAAACCTGCTGTTCCTTCAGCAATCGTTTGAAGTGTTCTTGCAGCACTGGTGGGATATGCACCCATATATCATTCCCCTGGGGATTTATAGAGACGAAATAAGACAGTCTGGATGATATGTGACGCAACTAAAGTTAATGTTAAACACAGCCGTACCTTGGCATCCATCAAGATGAGATCGAAATGCAGGACTTTATCAGTCGTCACATTAACACCCAACCATGCCCTGGAGACGCGACAATGCCCTGACCAGAGTTGTTTCTCGGACTCAAGATCTCGGATGCCATTGAATGCCATGGTGTAGCTACCAAAGTACATAAGCACTTAGTTATAGTGTAGGAATAGGAGGTTGGTTTGATGGAGGAATGAAGTGGGAAAAAAATTCTGTGAAGAAGAAGTTACCTGGCGGGATTTAGCAAGCGTCAACTGAAATATAAAATGAGCCGAGAGATTTAGAGAAGGTATATATATGTGGATTCCAGTTGGGGCAGTTACCAATTGCCCCACGTTGGCAAGCAACAGCAACATCTTCGGAAGGTAACTGCTACACCAACGTGAACTGCTTATTCAAAGCGTGTAGAGCTGGAGATGGAAATAGGGGGGAAAATTCAAATATGTCAGTTATAAACCAATGTAAATTTCCCAAGGACCGACAACGCGCCAAAACAGAGCCAGTATAACTTACCATCCATGTTCAATGAGTACCTGGGGTTGAAAAGCAGCTCGGTTCCTTTTATTCCCCGCTGCCGCCGCAAAGAGGTCCAAAGTCGGAGCTGAGGCTTTGACTGCGTGACGTCTGATTCCAGGTGGAAACCATCTTCCAACCTGCACCCGGTTGAATTGAATTGCAATGTTCGGGGCGGATGTAGTCTGGGCAATTGGTT